TACTGTCATTAGAAAAGTGCTTTGTTAGTGAAAAAATGCTATAAAAATGTGAGCTAAAACTGAGTTATTATGTAAATTCATTGTGCAATCTAATCCCGAGAATGAATTAACAATGCTTTATTTCCAATTTATTCTCCAAATGTTGCTTGTTTATATATAGTCATTTTCATATTTTCTCCTCCATTAGACTAGGAGTACCTTGAGGGCATGGAAGGTCTTTTCCTTTCTTTGAATCCCCAACACTTATCATAGTGCATAGTAGGTGGTTAATAAATAATTAAATGATTTTTAAAAATGGTCTCCTTTTCTTAGTTGATACTTTTTTGTTTGTTTGTTTGTAATTCTTCTATATCTGTCCAGTTATATGATGTAAACAAATGATACTGGGACCCAAAATATCAGCAATGTTATCATGATGAATATGAAATGAAGAGCAATGTTTCTGGAATAAAAGGGCACCCAGTCTGAAATGAGAGGGATATCATAACATAATGGAAAGAAAGTTTTAAATTGGAGTCAGAGGCCCTGGTTTGGAATCTCATCTTTCCTACATGCTAGGTATACGACTGAGTGAGCAAGTGAGTGAAAATTTACTTATCAATCATTAGCTGTGTACTAAAGTCTGGGGATAAAAGTAGAAATAGGTCAGCCCCTACCTTCAAGAAGTTTACATTCTAATGAGGAAAGACAATGCTTAAAGGTGAGATAGGAGTATGATTTGGATTAGCTGTGAGACAAATGCTTACTTCTCTCATATTAATAACCAATTATTAATTGAGATTTAAGATTATTTTCTTTCTATTTCCACATTCAGAAATAAAGTCCTGTATGTTATACAGACCATCCTATCTTGGTGGAATTGTTACCTCAACCAGTTAGAATACATAATCTAACCAAGGTGAATCCTGGCTGGGGTTGGGGGGGTCTTTGGGCTTTGTCTAAATTGCCAGAGGCTGGGGGTGGTCTGGGAGTAAGAGTGACATAATCAAATTGCTGTGATAATCCGGTATGTGTATTTTGGTCCAGGAAGGCATATGGATGGTGAATGGAAAAATAGGGTAGGCCACAACTGGGTCCTCTACAGAAAAATGGTTGGGCTGATTTGATTATATTTCTCAGAATAAGAAGTGGTGGAAAAGATGAGAACCTCCTGATCTCACAGAGTTTAGAGCTGAATGACTTATCTCTTGCTAATTTTGGTCTTTGGAAGTCTGGCTGGGAGGGTGGGGTAATAGGCTGTAAAGTGACCAAATGAACTGACTAACCTTCAGAGCTAGAGGAGATTAATTCCTTCTAGGAACAGGATCCACAGGCATAGTTTGTAGAGAAGAACAGTATTAAGGAGCATTCTGAAGCCAGGGGAAAGGTGCCAGTTCCATCTTTGTAATATATGTAAGGGCCATCAGAGGCAAAAAAAAAAAAATCCCACCACATATGTCAATCCACATGAGAATCTCTGTTTTAGTCCTATAATGTTTTTTGTGTCTTGGACCTCTCTGGACATCCAGTGAAGCCTATAGCTTCTCAGGAAAAAAAAAACTTTCAGAATGTTGTTAATACATAAAATAAAGAGGACTGATTACAGAGAAAAACAAAAGATTGTCCAATTAAAGATGTATATTTAGTTCCCATCCAAGTTCATGAACCTCTTGATACTTCTCTACAGACCCTTGAGGCATCCAGGTAGCCATGCTTAAGAACACCTGAAAAAAAAAGACTTCCCCAAATAGCTACCTTTTTCTTCCTGACTTCAAGTCCAAAAATCTATTAAATCATGTGCATTCTCAAAATCAAGTAGAATAAAATAAAATATTAACTGCCAATATTAATTAAATTAATTAATATAAATAATTGATAATTAATTAAACTTTATATACTTATCTTATTTGAACCTCACAACAACCCTTTGAAGTAGGTGTTATTATCCCCATTTTTACAGATAAGTAAACTGGAACTCAGAAAACTTAATTGGCTATGCCATGTTCACATATCAAATATATTTCTGAGGCATCATTTAAACCCAGATATTTCAGAATCCAAGGTCAGCTCTATATCTAGTACACCAGGCTTCATCTTCCATGAATCTATGGGAAATTTTTTTGTTTGTTTTAAATGTCTTCAGTTGATCTACACGCTAGAGTGAACAGCTTGGGTTTGTGGTTGGAATTAATTGTAGGAAAACAAGTTTATTTAACCCAGCAACTCATAAACTGGATAATGAATAAACCAGAAGTGTTCATAGTTCACTTAAGAGCCATTTCATTTCAAAGGAAAGAAGTAAACACAGAGACACTCAGAGTTTTGTGTTTTGTTTTATTTTGTTTTGTACTGCCCTTTCACTGGCTTCATTTCACAATCCTTTTCCTCCTTTCAAGTTCCACATAGGATATATTCTAGAAGTGAATAATACCTTTTAATAAGTTACTAGGAATTGTATAATTCATAGGCAACTGTAGACATTATTGGTTATTCTAATATCAAGTTTAAAATGATTATATTGGGACAACATGAAGAAGGCTAAACTTATTGGAAAGCCTTGTTTTTTTGTTTTTTGTTTTTAATTTTGTGCCACCTTTGTTTACCCACTAAAAGAGTTTAATAAATTATAAGATAAGTAAAAATATAAAGCCAGGGAGCTGGATAAACCAAATACTCCTTTTTCTTGTTGACCGAAATAATCTACTGTGATTTCTTTTCCATTTTTAATGACTGTAGTTGAATTAAACATTATCAAGGTAGTAACAGAAACACTTTACTGCTTCTAAGCCCCCTCATGAACTCTATTTTTTCTGGATTTTATTGAGGCTTTTATTTGTACATAGCTTATCAGTGTATATATTAGTTGGTGTTAATCACTTCATGTAAGTTTTCTATTTTTTATGTACTTCATATTTGTAAGTTGTTATATTTCTCTTACTAATTTAAATACCAAACATATTTAGTCATTACTCAAACATGGGGCACAAGTTATTTACAACTTTTTGATACTATGAATAATGTCCCTATGAATATTTTTTGTGTATATAAGTTATTTTTTCAATCAACAATATTTTAGCACACAATCATAGCAGTGAGATCCTAGGGTTAAAGGATCTGAACAATTTTTATTAGGTCTAATTATACAGTGACAATACAAAAAAAACTCAACGATTCACAGGTCCACCAACAATTTAATACTGTGGTTATTTCTCCCCTCAGCCCTGCCTTCACCATTTTATTGGACTATCTTTACCATTTTAGTGGACATATAGTGGTATCAATTAAAATAATCCTCAGTTTAATATCCATTTTTTATCATTAGGGAGTTTAATTTTTCAGGTAGTTATTGATAATCTATGTCCTTCAGAAAAGCACTTATTTGTTTATAGCAATGACAGAAAACTAATCTGTGTTTACATAGGCAATACAAGCACGTTCTAGATTTAGAGTCAATGCTTAACTTTAACTGATTTCCATGAAAGCTACAGAAATGGCACGTGTCTAAGGCAGGTGGTTTCTGATTATAACTTATAAAGTTTTTTAAAAAAACAAACATAGTTATCTAGAATTCACATTACATATTTTCCTTAGCCATCTTTAAGATAAAAAAAAAAATCTCACTAAGTAGTCTCAGACACCATTAACAAACTCACAACTCTGACATCAATGCATTAGAAGTTGTGCTTATTTCTTCCACCAATCCTAGACGGAAAGTCAACATAAGATTTTGCAAATCATAAGCTCATCCCTATAATTAAAAATTTGGCGGTAGTTCATTTTGAAAAGACATCAACTGTCTTAGAAGTGCTTATTAAGTTAATGCAGGTCAAAAGTCTCTGAGTGCCTGAGCAAACAAGGAGTTATAAAATTTTAATTATATTGCTGAAAACTCTACTGCCCAATAGAGAATATATATATGTATATATGTGTGTGTGTGTGTGTGTATACATATATATATATATATAATATATATATATATATATATATATATATATATTCCATAGGTGTTTCTGTAAGCTATTCTTGCATGATTTATAAAATGCAAATTTCACAAAAAATCATCCATATATAAAATTCATACATAAAATTACTGTGAATTAACTAATATTTAAATATACTATTGAATTCTTGCTTTAAAAAAAACACACTGCTATAGTACTTAATGTAAAACAAAGAATCTTTATGCAGCAAAAATGACCATCCCTGCCATTATCCTTTTTTTATTTAGATTTTTCTTGTATCAGTTTTTCTTAAAGCAAAACATACCTATATTTAGTTTTTGCTGCTCACATAGCAAACATCACCAATAACTTTAATCTAATACCTTGATGACTAAAGAAAAATGAAAAAGAAAAGTTTTCAGGACTCTCATCTTTGAGTGACTTCATCTATACTTACTTTGATACACATATTTTACGTACTCACAAATACATATATCACATCATATTGTGCAGTATCTGCTTTTGTCTCAACTCGGTAACATATGCTAGTCTAAAAACTTCAAAGACTAGAAAACCGAGGAAGAAAAGAGAACCACTGAGGCCACCAATACTTATCTGCTTGTCCTCTGACCTTCCCAATTCCTATCCTAATTGACTTTCCACCTGCTGGAAATTTAGAAAGATGTCATATACTAGGCACTGACAGTATCTGCTATCAAAGATCTTGGGTAACTGTAACTGTTCTATACTCAGGATATCAGTTCTGACAGAATTGTTATCCTTGTCCCTTTCCCTTTTTGTGCTTTCAATGTCACTTATCTTCTGCCTACACTCATGGTACTTGCCAGTTGAAGGATCATTGTTTCTCTAGTTATGAACAAGCAGGCTTGCTTTTTATGCATTGTGACATTACTTTCCACTGACAAATAAGAAGAGAAGTGGAGGAGAATGGGGGAGAGAGAGAGAGAGAGTTACCTGGTGAGGGTAACTCATAAAAATAGGAGAGAGAGAGAGAGAGAGAGAGAGAGAGAGAGAGAGAGAGAGAGAGAGAGAGAGAGAGAGAGAATGAGTGCATTTTACCCGTAAGAAGGAGAGATCACGGTTGTGCTCGATGCTGGTTATCTCCAGGTTGCCCATGACTACCTCACAGTTTTCATAGTATTTACGCAAGGCACGATACTGCTGTTCCAGGTCAGAGAGAGAGCTCAGTTTGTTTTCTGTTCCAGCACACACTGCAAAAATAAATATATATAGGTGCATAAAGTCATAGCCTTCTGAATAACACAAACAATAAAAAAAACAAAACAAAAAACAAATTATGGTAGATTATAATTCAGATTAGCATTCTGCCACTCAATTAAGAACATGACAGACAAACCCTGACTACCGACAGTGAGAAAAGCAATGGAACCCGTGGGAAACTATAAGTGGAATTCAACCAAAAGTGGAATGTGTTATATACACTCAACAACAACAATAACTAAATGTTATCCAATGTTAGAAGTAAAGATAATATGTGTGTGTGTGGTTATGCATGTGTGTATAATATATACAAATGTGAGTATGTATGTGTAATCCCTACATTCAGGGAACTTATATTCTATGGGGGGAATACAAAACATTTCCAAAAAAATACAAAATATATTGTGACAAGTATATGAGCCTTTTCAAAAATCACATTTTGCTATACAACTTTTGTGTTGTATTATTTTGAAATATAGTTAATATATATTTTTAAAGCTCATAGAACCCTGCTTTAAGACAATAAGTTACAGAGAAGGTGCCAACCTGCATAGTTAGACTTTTCTCATGCTTGTATCCCTTATATTAACAAAATCACAACTTTAGCCCCTACCTCTTACCCCCATTCAGTACCTCTCTCTAACCAAGGAAATGAAGAAAAATACAAAATAGCACATACAGCCCCTTCTAGGACCACAGTGGCAAGAAATGAGATTCCAAGAAGTGATACAAGAATAATCGCTCTTTAGTTATATACAAAAATTAAGTAATTGGTACTCAGTTTCTACCCTGTGATATCATTTGAAATTGCTGATATAAATAAAACCACAATATAGAATTAAGTGTCATTCAAATGAAAAAGTGAGCTCACAGAAAAGAATTTGACAGAGAAATTTCATCATGGCAAAATGAAAACCCACTCCACGAGTGACACGACAATCTTGCCTAACCATGTTCATGAAGAACATAACAGGACAGTGTGAAGGAAAATGCCATTTCTGCATCAGCATCCTTTGCAAGAGATGAATAGGTACAGAAATTCTCTGAAAATTTGACATGTTTCTACAAAATAAATAAGCATATACCTTGATGCTTGGTGATTCCAATATGAATGTAGGAACAGAGGAAGATGTAGAAAAACTGTTGAAAAATATAGTTCCAGGTCAAGGAATAAGAAGAAAAAGGCTTTGGGCAGCTAGGTGGCACAGTGAATAAAGCACTGGCCCTGAAGTCAGGAGGACCTGTGTTCAAATCTGGCCTCAGGCACATAACACTTATTAGTTGTGTGACCCTGGGCAGGTCACTTAACCCCACTGAGGAGGAGGAGGAGAAGAAGAAGAAGAAGGCTTGAAAACAATATAGAAATCTCATACCTTCATGATATGAATGCTACTTTAAAGAAGAGAGTGAGAAGATAATGGATGGGACAAGCACCTCAAGATAGCTCTTCTCTCCTCTCAAAATACAACAATTAAATTGAACACATATTGGCAAACAGAGAGCGACTGATTACTGAAACAGCTGTCACTTCAAGATTAGCCATGTGTTGTAAAGGTCAAAATGTAAAAGCAATTAGATTAGAGTTGTCAAATTACATCTCCTGAATTGAGATAAAATGTCTACTTTTATACAGACCACAAGCTAAGATTTTTTAAAATTTTAAATAGAAGTTATTATATAAAAATGCATTAAAAACCCATTCTTAGCTTTGTGTTTTAAAATTAATCTCTTTTTTTAGGAGCAATAATAGAACACCAATATTTATATTGTGCCATTTTAAGATATGACATACTATGAAAAGAGGCAGGAGTAGCACCTAAGAAGATAAAATGACCCAAGTCAATTGACCTTACCCCAAAATGTAGAGAAGAAATTTATGACTGAATTAAAAACAAATTTAACATTACTAAGTGATCAATTGAAAATATTCAAAGATTACAAAATTATTAGAAAGAGAAAATCAGATGGTTTTGTCCTCTGAAGACTTAGATATCAACAAGAATTGGAAATGAAGAGAAATTACAGATTTTACAATTTCTGTTAGTGGAAGAATACCTACACTGATAAAAATCTTCCAGGCACAATTAAGAAGACATTACTTCCAGCTGGAAAAATTCATGAAAGAGTTGGGATTTTCAATTTGGTTTTGGTTTTCACATTTGAAATATCATGGGCATCGGGGCAGCTAGGTGGCGCAGTGGATAGAGCACCAGCCCTGAAGTCAGGAGGACCTGAGTTCAAATCCGGACTCAGACCAAACACTTGCCACTAGTTGTGTGATCCTGGGCAAGTCACTTAACCCCAATTGTCTAAAAATTAAAAAAAAAATCACGGGCATCAACAGGGATGAAGGGCGTTCTACCCAAAAAGAATGGTGTAAGCCCAAGCATGGATTTAGGAACACAGCAAAATGTATAGATATACTGAGATTTACTTATAAACCATTGATTACTAGGCTACATACCTTTCATAAATTGCCTAGTTCTTTTCCCGTAGAATAGCCTGATATATGTAATGATAATTGTGAGATAAGGATGACAAATACAGTGTGTAAAAGAAAAAAAAATAAGGAGCTAAATGTGTTATGGATACTATTTTCTCATTTGAATCACTTAGAGCTATTCTAAAATTTCCACATAAAAGAAGACAAAATGGTCATGTCATCTATTCTTTAATACTTGTACAGCATATGTTAATTTTTTAAAGTGAGTTTTACTGACATCTTTTGTCTTTTAATCCATTGATTTTTTTCCTTCTAACAAAAGAAAACACTTAAACAAAACTATTGAGGATGACATAGGAATAATGAGACCCCAAAGTATCAAACATGTCTTGGGGCCAACAAGACACCCCTACCTGCATAGGCAGAGACTCCTGAAAATGAATTTACATGGGGCTTATGTGTACTTAAACAACAAAGGAGAATGGAGGCTTAAGGCAGAATGATATTTGGAGGCTATGTTGCAAGAACTGGCTCAGTAGATAAGATACCTTGCCCTAAATGACTAAACTGATTCCTGAAACCAGGGAACATTTGAAGTCTCACTGAATGGATGTTATCACACAGGATATTCTTATTGGGGTGAGCAGTATAGCAAGAAGAGCGTTTAATTGGTGAGCTAATGCTTAACACAAGATGGAGGGAATTGTGCTCAGTTTACCAGGATGGAGGGAGTTATGCTCAGTTTGTGATCCATAATTCCAACATAATTGACTCACTTCCATGCCATATGTGTATGTAGAATCCGTCTAACTACCTTAACAATGATAAAGGTGTTAGAAGTTATACCTATCATATTCCCACATAAAAAGGCAAAAAGTTATACCTTACTGAGTATGATTTCTCTTCCATGTTTGCCTTCATAAACTTTTTTTGTCTTACATTTGAAAGCCAAATTTTCCATCAGCTCTTGTCCTTGTCTCAGTCCTCTATTTCATTAAATATCAATTTTTCTTTCCCCTGAAGGATTATACTGAGTTTGTCTGGGTGAATTATTTTTGGTTGTAAGACTAGCCACTTTGCCCTCCAGAATATCATATTCCAAGCCCTTCACTTCTCTAAAATGGGAGCTGCCAAATCTTGTGTCATCCTGACAGTGGTTCTATGATATCTGAATGGTTTGTTTCTTGCTGTTTGGAGTTTTTTTTTTCCTCTATGACTAGGAGCTCTAGAATTTGGTACTAATATTCATGAGAATTTTCAGTTTGGAATCTCTTTATGGTGTGAATTAGTAGATTCTTTCCATTTCTATTTTGCCCTCTGGTTCCAAGATATCAAGGCCGTTTTCCTTGATAATGTCTTGAAAAATGATGTCTAGGCTTTTTCTTTGATCATGGCTTTTAGGTAGTCCAATAATTCTTTTAATTTTTAATGTTTAAAAATTTTTTTTTGATTAATCAACAATTACTTCCATATGCTTTTGAGTTTAAAATTTTTCTCCCGCTTCCTTCCCAATCCCTCCCCAAGGTGGCGCACATCTGATATAGTCTATACATATGCATTCTTATTAAACATATTTTCACATTAGTGATATTGTAAGAAAGAATTAGAACCAATAGGAAGAACCACCAGAAAGAGGAAACAAAACACAACAGAAGAGAAAAAAATAGCAAATAGTATGTTTTGATCTGCATTCAAATTCCATAGTTCTTTCTTTGGATGTGGGTAGCATTTTCCATCACGAGGCCTTTGGAGATGTCTTAGATCTTTGTATTGCCAGGAAGTATTAAATTTATCAATATAAGTCATCACACAACATGGCTGTTATTGTGTACAATGTTTTCTTGGTTCTGCTCACTTCACTCAGCATCAGACCATACAAGTCTTTCTAGGATTTTCTAAAGTCAGCCTGCTCATCATTTCTTATAGCACAATAGTATTCCAGTACATTCATATACCACAACTTCTTCAGTCATTCCCCAACTGATGGCATCCCCTCAATTTCCAATTCTTTGCCACCACAAGAAGAGCTGCTATGAATATTTTTGTACACGTGGGTCCTTTTTCCATTTGTATGATCTCTTTGGGATATAGCCCTAGAAGTGCTATTGCTGGGTCAAAGGGCATTGACAGTTTTATAGGCCTTTGGGCATAGTTCCAAATTGCTCTCCAGAATGGTTGGACAAGTTTACAAGTCCACCAACAATGTATTAAGAAGCTATAGTGTACACAGCAGCCACACCCTGGTCAACCATTTTTAGCAGATGGGCTAAACCAGGTTGAGGGTAACTGAGGGGTCTCAAACCTATCTGTGAGTTAAGGGGGTGTCTACCTCAACCAGATGAAGACTATCCCTGGTGCAATGGGCAGATGAGAACAGTTTATTCCAATGTCTAGGTACAAAAGTATTTTTAGCAACTCTTTTTGTGGTGGCCAACAATTGGAAATTGAGGGGCTGCCCATCAATTGGGGAATGGCTGAACAAGCTGTAGTATATGAATGTAATAGAGTATTATTGTTCCATAAGAAATGATGAGCAGACAGACTTCA